AAAATTAAAATCTGCATCACCAAGACAGCATCCTTAATTCTGCCTTTCCAACTCTAATACCAGCTGAGATTTCTTGGTATTTGTTTAGAACATAAGAACATAAGAACTAGGAGCAGGAGTAGGCCATCCAGCCCTTCGAGCCTGCTCCGCCATTCAATAAGATCATGGCTGATCTTTTCGTGGACTCAAATCCACTTACCCGCGTTCTCACCATATCCCTTAATTCCTTTATTGTTCAAAAAAAATCTACCTTATCTTTAAAAACGTTTACTGAAGTAGCGTCAACTACTTCACTGGGCAAGGAAATCCATAGATTAACAATCCTCTGGGTGAAGAAGTTCCTTCTCAATTCAGTCCTAAATCTGCTCCCTCTAATCTTGAGGCCATGCCCTCTTGTCCTAGCTTCACCAGCCAGTGGAAACATCCTCTCTACTTCTTTCTTATCTATTCCCTTCATAATTTTATATGTTTCTATAAGATTCCCCCTCAATCTTCTGAATTCCAATGAATATAATCCCAATCTACTCAGTCTCTCCTCATAAGCCAACCCCCTCAACTCCGGAATCAACCTAGTGAACCTCCTTTGCACCCCCTCCAGTGCCAGTACATCCTTTCTCAAGTAAGGAGACCAAAACTGCACACAGTACTCCAGGTGTGGCCTCACCAGCACCTTGTACAGCTGCAACATAACCTCTCTGCTTTTAATCTCAATCCCTTTAGCAATGGAGGACAAAATTCCATTTGCCTTCCTAATTACTTGTTGTACCTGCAGACCTACCTTCTGTGATTCATGCACAAGGACACCCAGGTTCCTCTGCATAGCAGCATGCTGCAACTTTTTACCATTCAAGTAATAATCCTTTTTACTATTACTCCTACCAAGATGTATGACTTCACATTTATTTACATTGTATTCCATCTGCCAGACCTTTGCCCACTCACTCAATGTATCCATGTTTAATTCATGTACATGCAGCTTGAGTAATTTCATTCCCCAGCCTCACCTCCACTTCTTGATTCTGCATAATGGATAAGGAAGAATGATCAAAAAGCATACTTGGGGTCCCTCCCCTCAGATTTTACAGAGAAAGGGAACAGGTTACAGGGATGATCACAGTATAGTTATGAGCAGGATTGTTAGATGGCTGTGGTCAGTTTATGAATGACACATTTATACACAGCAAATATTCACATGCAAGAAAAGTGATTAGGTACATGAATAATGCCAGCACATCTTTTCAAGAGAGTACGGGAAAATGTGCTTTTTATACATAGTTCCTGTATCCAACTGAATTGCTAAAACCAACTTCTCCATCACTAGCACCTCATTCTATTTTCAAATAGCTTCCATTTCAGTGGACCATCATTTTGCCTAAATTACATGTACAAGAAATGTACAACATCAAACAAAATTTGTGTCGATTTCAACTACATTTTCCTTATTTGGTTATACAAGGACTTAATACTTCAATACTATCCTGATCAGTTATTGTACAACTGTTAGGAGACAGTATTATAAACACCAAATTTAACATTAATCCAGCAAAAAGTAATTGTCAATGTCAGGGAAGCAGAAAAGTATATCTGACTCATCTCTCAACTCAAGTTTTAAGCTGTAGAATTGGTGATTAAAAGAGGAAGGAAGCAGGAATTTTACTCAAATAGTCTTTTGGTAGTATAGAATGTATGTCTTGCTGAAAAAAAGACACACTGTCAAAGCTTTTCATTTTGCACTGATTAGGACAACTAGCAAGAAAACGGATTCAAATGGAAAACGAACATTTATACTGCATGACAGTAGACTGCTGATTGGTTGAGGAGTTACCATGGAAAATGCACCCATCAAAGCTGATTAACATAACTGACAAAAACAAAACAGAAGTTGCTAGAAAAGCTCAGGTGTGGCAGCTTCTGAGGAGAGAAATCAGAATTAAAATTCTGGTCGAGTGACCCTTCCTCAGAGCTGATGGTAACAAGGAAAATGGCGGTTTATATGCAGAAGATAGGGGGTAAGTAGTAAACAATAGGAGGGGATACAACCCTGAGAGAGAATAGTTGGACAAAGGAGTGGATAATGTTCTGGCTAGGAGGGTGAATAGCTATTAATGGGGACTCTTAGTGGCTAACAATGGGATGTGTGTAATAGCAGACAATGTGAAACAAGGCCTGGTGTGTAGGGGTTGGGATAAAGACATGGGAAAGCTCAAGCCCTAAAATTATGAACTCAACATTCAGTTTACAAGACTTCAGGAATTCCAAGTGGAAAATGAGGTGCTGTTCTTCCACCTTCTGCGAAGCTTTGCTGGAGCATTGCAGCAACCCTGAGACAGAGATGTTGGCCAGGGAACATGGAGGTGTGTTGAAGTGGTAGACAAATGGAAGCTCGGGTCTTTCTGGTCACCCAGTCAATGCTTTGCTCCCCCAATGCTGAGAGACCATATTGCGAGCAGCAAATGCAGTAGACTAGATTGTGTGAAGTGCAGATAAAGCGCTGCTTCACCTGGAAGGTGTGTTTGGGCCCTTGGATACAGAGGCGGAAGGAAGTTAACGGATAGGTGTTGCACCTTCTGCAGTTGCATGGGAAGGTGCCGTGAGGCTGTGGAGGGGTAGGTGGAGTGAAGGAACAGTGGACCAGGGTGTCCCAGAGGGAACTCTCCCCATGGAAGGCTGAGAAGGGAGGTAGCATCTCACTCGAGGTGGCAGAAATGGCATCTGATGAGCTTCTGAATCTGGATTCTGGTGGGACGCTAGGGAAGGAAAAAGGGAACCCCATCGCTGTTGCATGAGGGAAGACCAGGGGGTGAGGGCGGAAGTACATGAGATGGGTCAGACCTGGCTGAGGGCCCTGTCAACAATGGCGCTGGGAAATCCTCAATTGAGGAAGAACGTGGACATTTCAGAGGCTCCCTTGTCAAAGTTGGCATCATCAGAACAGATGCAATGGAGATGGAGGAACTGGGAGAATGAAAGAGAGTCTTTATAGGAAGCAGGGTGTGAGGATGTACAGTCCAGGTAACTATGGGATTCAGTGGGTTTATAGTGGATATTGGTGGCCAGTCTATTCCCAGAAATGGAAACAGAGGTTGAGAAAGTGAAGGGAGGAGTCAAAGTCAGATGAGAGAGGGAGACAGCACTGATAATATCATTGATATATTGGAGAAAGTTGTGAGTGAGGTCTGGAATTGGACTGGAACAATACCCCACAAAGAGACAGGCATAACCAGGACCCATGTGGGTATCCATGGCCACCCATCTGACCTGAAGAAAATGAGGAGAGTTAAAAGTTGTTCAAGTAGAGGACAAGCTAGGCCAGGTGGGGGAGGCTGGTGCTGGATGGGGACTGTTCAGGCCTTTGTTCTTGTGAATTGTTCTGATGATTGCAAGACAAAGAGCTTTGAAAAAAATGTGTCTTTTTTCAGTGATACTTAAGTTCACTCAAAGTCCATTCACCCATACTACAGTTTATGAAGAAATATGGAGTCAGAGGATTTGGGCTCAAGACCCATTCCTGTACTTCAGCATATGATACAGGCTCACACTTAAATCCAGAACTTCTGAAGGGATTCAATGCAGAGGCCTATGTTGAAGAGTCATATTAGACTCAAAACGTTAACTCTGGTTCTTTTTCTGCAGGTAGTGCTGGATCTATTGTATTTCTCCTGAATTTTCTATTTTTATTTCAGAATCTATACTATTTGGGGTTAGATGGAATATGGAATATGGAATTCAGAACACAAAAATATCAGCAATTATCTCACTGAATGACAAAGCAGGCTTGAAGGGTTCAATAGACTACATGTGCTCCTAATTGGTGCATTTGTAGTTATATTGGCCTACTCCTTTTCTCCTGATCAACATCACCAAACTGATCAACTAGTGCTGTTTATAAGATCTCACAAAGTGGATATTAAATCTGAAATGCATAGAATGCTGTATGGCTAAGCAGTTCGTGAACAAATTTGATAAATTCTTAGAGACTTAATAAGCTGATATTTAACAATCACTGCACGCATCATTAATATTTAGCAAACATTCTCATCTAGAAAGCTGAGGAAATACACACTGCCAGAGATTTAAAAATGCTTGATCAAGGACAGCATCTTGGATGTATCATCTCAACAATCCTGAGGGGACAGCTAGAAAAAGGAACACCTAATAAACTTCTTTTACATTGAAAATTACAACCTTATTTTTTGGGATAACACTATTTCCCTCATCTGGAATCGCCATAAAGCAAAATGACAATTTGAAAAAGAGATAAGTGATAAAGATTCTTAAATTGCAATCTTTTAAATGGTAACTACTGGTTATACTGCCAATTCTCAGCACTCTGGAACTGAGGAAAGCAGTGGGCGTTTATTATGCCTATACATGTCACTTTGGGTGATTTGAGAGATGAAGGAAGAGCAGAGGTCTTTTTAACCGTTAAAATGTTGGCTGTGCATCCATTTAGAGCGATTATATAATTGTACCAGAGAAACAGCATCTTAAAGTGGTCTAACTACCCACTTATGAGAAACTAACAACATTATTTTTAACACATAATGAGAAGTATTAAGTATTACATTGCGCAGATTTCTACTGTACCAAATCGATTCAGCTAGCTTCCCACTGACAAGGTATTTGTCCAATACGTTATATCCTTCCTTCAACAGATAGACTTTTCAGACTTGCCAGCCAATTAGTGGCAAAAGCTTTAGATAAAGACTGGAGTATACTTCGTCATATTAAAAAAAACACCATTCAGTAATCATGTTGAAATATGCATTTCAATGGCCACCATTATTCTTGCATGTGACAGCAAAGGGCTTCAAAGGATTTGTTCCCCCCACCAATAAAGACTTCTTTTCTTAAAATCCCACAAAATTAAAATCTTGAAAATGTGAATAATTCAGTGGATATGCTGAGTGAAGCTGACTTTGAAGGTTATTCCTTTCCCACCCACCGATGAAAAACAATTTGAAAAAGCCTTCTGAAACCCAGTAAATAAAATGAAGAACCTGTTAAGAACTGCAGTGAAGAATTTGGTCTTTACAGATTGCAGCAAGTCTGAGTTGAGGAAGTTCTGACAGATGCAAAATGTACACCTGTTGCAGGTGCATAAACAGCGTAACCGGGCATGGCTGCGAAAACACACAGAAGTAAGGCAATTGAGTCTCTGCTTACAAAGTTTAAAGAAAATGCAGATTCACACCATTCTCGTAAATCAATTGCAAAGGTACCAAATGGCCAATGCCACTTCTGGACACATTTCAACAAGTCGCCATGGGAAGAACACATAACATGCGACAATCCTACATGAACAGAGGAAGTAAATCTTACAAGTAAGAACAGATACAACGATGATAAAGAACATTAAAAGCATGTGTGTCATACAGTAAGTTTTTTTTTGTTGAGTTTAAAAAAGTAATATGCAACTGCAGCTTACTGGAGGTCCAGTTTACTGGATATGAAAGAAAATAATACCAAGCCTTTGTAATAATCTAGTGCATTACTGACTGCCATTCTCAGCTGAGGTTAAGAGACATTTTGCAAAGTTTTGCCTAGTTTAAGAAAAGAAAAATTTGCATTATAGAGGAATTCAAGTAATTAAATTATGATTGTAACAAGATGCCAGCTGTCATACTGTCAACAGCCTGCAATTATTACACATAACAGAAGTCACCTGCATGCACTTAATTGCATCACATCCTATAGGAAGCAATGTTTTAGACTGTCCTAATAATACAGGCATTCTGCAAAAAAACTGGATTGAAAGAGATTATAAAATAGAAATATTCCAGAATAATGGAATGCCAATGAAAGCATACTTGGCTTCATTTCACAAGGATGAACAAATTTTGTTTAGTTTGCCTAGTGCAATGAGCAGTCCATCAGGTTTGATTGATACAGATCTGTGCCTCTGAAGAGCTCATGCTTTAGCTCCAGTCTATCCAAACTATTATGTTTAGAACAAAAAGGTCCAAAATTCTCCTATGAATAAACACCCAGTGCAATGAAAACATTAGAAACATATGAACAAGGAACAAGAGTAGGCCACATAGCTCTTTGAGACTATTCAGCCATTCCATAAAATCATGTCTGATCTGATTTTAATCCAATCTCTGCATTCCTGCATAATCCCGATAATCTTTCATCCCCATAGTAATCAAGAATCTATCTGCATCTGCCTTTAAAATATTTAAAGGTTCTGTAGCCTCGGTCTTTTGGAAGAAGGGAATTCCAAAGACTCAACCCTCAGAAAAATACATTTCCTTATCTCTATCCTAAATGGGCAACCTCTTAATTTTAAACTATAGCCTTTACTTTTAAATTCTCCCACAACAGGAAACATTCTTTCCTCATCTACCTGATCAAGTCTCCTCAAGATCTTCTGAAGGAAGGAAGGGTCACTGGACCCAAAACATCAATTCTGCTTTCTCTCCATAAATGATCCCAGACCTGCTAAGTTTTTCCAGTAATTTCTGACATCTGCAGTCCTTTGGTTATCTTCCCCTCAGGATCTTTAATGTTTCAATTAAATCACATCTGACCCTTCTGAATGTCAAAGGCTACATGCCTAGCCTGTCTAGCTTCTCCTCTGAAGGCAATCTGGTCATTCCAGGCATTAGTCTAGTAATCCTTCTCTGAACTGTTTCTGATATATTAACATCCTTCTGTAAGAATAGTGACCAGTCCTGTACACAGTACTTGAGATGCAGTCTCACCAATACCTTGAGTAAGTGAAGCATAACTTCCCTACTCTTGAATTCAATGCCCCTCCCAATTAAACATTTTATCAGCCTTCCTAATTATTTGCTGTACTAACATAATAACCTCCTGTGATTCATGTACTAGAACACCTAGATCTCACTACATCAGAACTCTGCAACATCTCACCATTTAGGTAACATGCTTCCTTTTATATTCTTTCTGCCAGAATGGACAATTTCACATTTTCCCACATTGTATTCCATTTGCCATATCTTTGCCCACTAACTTAACCTATCCATACCCCTTTGTAAGCTCCTTATGTCTGCTTCACTAACCACCACTTTCCTACCTTTGTGGCATTTGCAAAAACAACAATGGTACGTTCTGACCTTTCATCCAAATAATTTATATAAATGCTGAAAAGTCGAGGCCCCAGCGCTGATCCCTGTGGCACACCACTCAGAACATCCTATCAGCCAGAAAGAAACCATTTATTTGTATTCTCTGCTTCCTGGCAGCTAGTCAACTTTATATCTACACCAACATGTTATCACCTACATCATGAGCTCTTATTTTCTGCAACAGTTTTTGATTTGGCATCTTATTGAATGACTTCTGGAAACCTAAATACAATACGTCCACTTGTTTCCCCTTACCTGCAGCAAAAGTTACTTGTTCAAAAAAATTCCAATAAATTCCTTAAATGGGATTTTCCTTTGACAAAGCCATGTTGGCTCTGCCTGATTACTCTGAACTTATTCATGTGCCCTGCTGTAACGTTTTTAATGATAGTGTCTAAAGTTTATCCTATGGTAGACGCTAAACTAACTGAATAACTGCCTTGTTGTTTCCTGATTTGTGCCTCCTTCCCTTTTTGAATAAGACATTTTCCCCTCAGGATCTTGTATGTTTCAATTAAATCACATCTGACCTTAGCACATCTGAACTATAAGGCAGTTATTCAGTTAGTTTAGCATCTGTCATAGTTTCTAAAGTCTATCGTATCATTAAAAATGGGTTACATTAGCAATTTTTCAATCTAAAAGAACCTTCTCCAAATCTAATGAGTTTTGGAAAATGAAACCAATACATAAGTTATCTCATTAGCTACTTCCTAAAAACCTTAGGATGAAATCCTTCAGGACATTTCAGTTCTAAGACCAATTTGCCTTGTACTTTAAACCTACCAGGCGCAAGAGAGTTCCATAATGGAAACTTTTTTTTTGTTCAATAAACGTATTAGAAGAATATTGCAGTTATCATTCTAGGCTGATAAATTTGGGATTTTACTGCACATTTTCTTGAAATTCAGTATGCAAGACCAACAGAGCCAACCAGAAATGATAATCATAGGCAGCATTTTCTCAATCCAGGTATTAGCAAAACACTAGTAGAAAAGTATTATTGAGAACACAATATGAAAAAAGGGAGATTTCAAAAGATAGACTGACCAACTTTCTCTGTAAATGTTTGAGGAGAAAATACTAAAATTAAAAAACTACCCAGCAAGGCGTGCAAGTCTGACAGTTTGTTATTTTGAGTAGGCCAAATGAAGGGACAGCAATCTCTCCAGCTTTAAAACAATCACTACATCTACAGTAGAAACTTAAGAAACTTAACCCCAACGCCTTGGCCATGTGCTAACTCTTGCTAATGGTGTCCAATCAGAGCTTGCTTTACAAATATACTTTTTAAAAATGTCTAAAATGTGGCTCTTCTAAGAGTGTTATAAGCTGGTATTCGCTGAGGCCTTAAAGAGAATTCAATAACTACCCGAACTGAGAAAAATCTGCAGGGTTATGGAATAAAAGCGGGGGAGTGGAATTCCACAGGCCTGTCATGGTCATATCCGGCCAAATGACTACCTCCTGTGCTGTAACCATTCTAGGATTTCTTTCAGAATTGCAGAATATTTTCCTGTTATTATCTCAGATTACCTTCTAAAACACTGCTTCAAACTACAGTTAATGATGGTCATCCATGCAAATCTTAACACAACATATGTAGCACTGTGGTGGCTTGATGTCCTGTACTTACGGATACATGGCTATGGTAGTCACTTTGACAAAGAAGTCTTTGCTTGGTGTGCCAACACTGTTGCAAGTATAACTTTGAGGCGGTGGCATTTTGTGTTTGTTGCAGAAGTCAATGGGAGAAATGCTGTGATCCTGTTTAGCTTCATGCAGGTCAGACTTTGCAGCTACAACAATACATGGTGTTTTGCTATCAATGAAATGTTGCTGCAAAAATTGAAAAAAATCCCCATTAGTTGCAGTGTTAGCTACAAATGACACAAACCAGTATTTATCATCAACTTTTTGTGGCAAATTTAGAAACAGCTTTCAATTTGAACTGGATTAAGCTTTCAATAACGGTTTTTAAAGCAATTACTTTAAAGAAATTATAAACATGTCTTTCCTTAGCACTGTCTGATCATAGCTGGTTCTTCTGATGATTTGCTACCTGTCAATGCCATATCATTTACAGTCCTACATGTTTGATAAGTACATGAGCAGTTACCTTTCTATTTTCCCCCTGTGAGGAAGTGCACACTGCCACAGCATAGATCAGATACGGAGGGAATAAAATTACAGGTACAAATTGTACCATTTAACTCAAATTATCATACTCTGAAACAGAACCCTATTGTTCAACACTTTCATGCAGTTGTTCAAGGACAGAAAAGTAATCATATTTTCTACAGGTGTAGGACTTTATTCTCATGGGTATCAGGCATTGCTTTGTTATATTGTTTATAGTTGATAAGATAAAATACACAAAAAAAAAAACTGGGCAACTAACTGGTAAATAAACATAAAAACTGGTATGCCCTTTCATCTGCCTGGAACCTTTAGAGCTGGTCATCTCAAGTAATATGTAATATTGTCGCAGCTAACCCCAACCTTAGTTAGGAAACTAAGTTCAGCTCAATAAATTTTAGCTAGCTCTGAACTCTTAATCAGCAATATACCCTGGCATAGTAGTTTTATTGTAGAAAGATACCCTAGTACTGGACAGTTGGATGTCAGATCAGAGGACAGAAATTAGTGGCAGTCACTCACAGGTGGTGTTCTGAAGGCTTTTGAAGATCAGGAAGAAATATGGATGTATTTAGGGAGATGGCTTCAGACCCCAACACTAGTTACTGAAGGTCTTGCCACCAGTAAGAGGAACCTGGATATTCTACAGATAAAGACTTAAGAACTGAGAAAGGATTGTGGGAAGTTCGAGTAATAGGGTAAAGCATGAAAGGATCTGGAAATGAAGATTTTGAACAAATGTAGAAAAATGTGACAAATGCAACATTGGCCATTTTTGCTTTCAAAAACAAACACAGTATCTATCTGCATGATTAAGAGATATTTACATAAATCAAAAGATAATAGCACAGTCCAAAACTTCTCAAAGTTTGATGGATGATAATTAAAATTTGACAATTATCATTCACGATTTTAAAAAATTGGTAAAGATTTTGTAAAGAGAAAATTGTGGTCGCAATCGTGCAGATACACAAAATAAGAGAAGGGAAAGACTGTGCAAATCTATATACTGAAGGTCGCAAATACCTTGAAGATCCTTGTACAATAATCAAATGATTTGGGATTGCTGACATCGTATACCAAGCAAACAACATCACAAATGGTATCAGAGGCAGTAATAAATTCAGAGTCAGACAAAACTTCATGTAGCTTGAAAGGAAAAAAAATACAAATTTAGTGTTATTTTAGTGTTATCTTTATGCTCAAAAAAATTGTTAAAACAGAATGCAAATTTAAACCACATATTATTTTCACTGTCCACGGGTATAGTGCCGGAAGATTGGAGAGTGGCAAATGTCATTCCCTTGTTCAAAAAATGGAATAGGGATAACCCCAGAAGTTACAGGCCAGTTAGTCTTACTTCAGTGGTGGGCAAATTATTGGAAAGGGCTCTGAGAGATAGGATTTATGATCACTTGGAATAGGCACAGTTTGATTTGTGATCGTAAGCATGGATTTGTGAGGGGTAGATCATGCCTCACAAACCTTAATGAATTCTTTGAAGAGGTGACTAAACACGTGGATGAAGGTAGAGCAGTGGATGTGGTGTACATGGATTTAAGTAAGGCGGTTGATAAGGTTCCCCCATGGTAGGCTCATACAGAAAGTAAGGAGGCATGGGATAGGGGGAAATGTGGCAGATTGGGTGACCCTTAGAAGACAAATGGTGGTAGTGGATGGAAAATATTCAACATGGTGCCACAAGGATCAATTCTGGGTCCTCTTCTATTCGTGATTTTTGTAAATGATTTGGATGAAGGAGTGGAAAGGTGGATTAGTAAGTTCATGGACGATACGAAGGCGGATCGAGTTGTGGACAGTGCGGAGGGCTGTTCTAGGTTACAAAAGGGACATTGATAGAATGCAGAGCTGGGCTGAGAAGTGGCAGATGGAGTTTAACCCTGAAAAGTGTGAGGTGATTCATTTTGGAAGGACAAATTTGAAAGCAGAATATAAGGTTAACAGAAAGATTCTTGGCAGTGTGGAGGAGCAGAGGGATCTTGGGGTTCATGTCCACAGTTCCCTGAAAGCTGCCACTCAGATGGATAGAGTTGTTAAGAAGGCGTATGGTGTGTTAGCTTTCATTAATAGAGGGATTGAGTTCAACAGCCGTGAAGTTATGCTCCAGCTATACAAAACCCTGGTTTGGCCACATCTGGAGTATTGTGTCCAGTTCTGATCGCCTCATTACAAGAAAGATGTGGAAGCGTTGGAAAAAGTGCAGAGGAGATGTACCAGGATGTTGCCTGCAATGGAGGGAAGGCCTTACGAGGAAAGGTTGAGAGAGCTAGGGCTTTTCTCTTTAGAACGACAAAGGATGAGAGGTGACTTGATAGAGGTGTATAAAATGATCAGAGGTATAGATACAGTAGACAGCCAGAGACTTTTTCCTAGGGTGGAGGTAGCTATTACGAGGGGGCATAGTTTTAAAGTGAGTGGAGGTAGATATAGGGGAGACGTCAGAGGTAGGTTCTTTACTCAGAGAATGGTAGGGGCGTGGAATGCATTGCCAGAGAGGGTAGTGGAGTTGGCCTCATTAGGGGCATTTAAGTGGCTATTAGATAGGCGTATGGATGATAGTATAAGGTAGGGGTGGAGGTTAGACACACCTTAGGTTTAGGGTAAAAGTTCGGCACAACATCGTGGGCCGAAGGTCCTGTACTGTACTGTGCTGTACTGTTCTATGTTCTATCATCAACACTCATACCCTAGGCTGTGTCAAGTGCATATGGCTGATTCTCGACATGACTTTTTAAAAAAATGCATTCACGGGATGAGGGTGTAGCTAGCTGGTGAGCATTTAATACCCATCTCTAATTGCCCAGAGGGCAGTTAAGGATCTATCACATTGCTGTGGGTCTGGAGTCACATGTAGCTAGACCAGGTAAGGATGGCAGTTTCCTTCCCTAAAAGGTTTTCCCGACAATCTTCATAAGACTCTTAATCCCAGGTTATTTTTTATTGAATTCAAATTTCAACATCTGCCAAACATTACCTGGGTCACTGGATTAACAGTCCATTGATAATACCACTGGACCATCACCTCAATTTTGTTAAAACTTCACACAATCTTACACCCATCTAACTCATGGTGACAGACAGACTTGGCTTTGCTTTGTTCTGTCATCTGAGAAGTGTACTGAAACACTAGTTCCAGGTTAATTGCTCAAGTCCTAGAGTGGGACTTGAAACCATAAATCAACTGATTTTGACTACTGAACTAAATTAATAAATTCAGTCAGTTCAAGTTTTACTTTTTAGCTTAATAATTCAAAGTTACTATGGTGATTGTTACTTAATGTGATGGAAATTATCTTCAAAAATATACACCCAAAAGCTGTTAAAGTTTCATTCTTGGAATTTTCCCTGTCTATAAAAGAAATGCTTCTGCAATGAATTCACCTGACAATAATAGAGAAAGTACCATAATGATCACAAATATTCAGATGGAAATTATTGAGGTCAAACTTCTAACAAACAATGCCAACTTAATTACAACCTACTCCCTTTATAGGAACATTTGTTCAAAAGGTAGTCAACATTGAAAATATGACATCATTCTCCTTTTGAAAGATTTTACAGCATTGTATAAAGCAAATTCAACAACCAGCATTACAAAACGTCCAAGAGAAGAAATGAAACCAAATTTGAAATGACGTGGAAAGTTCAATATTCAATAGATTTAATATTTTCTTCCTAAAATTTTTCCTGCCATAAACAAGTGCAGGGGCAAAGACAAGTGTAAAGAATTATAACTTTGAATCTAAAGTAAGATCACATGGGTCAAATATGGATTATAGAAGGAAAAAGGTGTGAACATATTGTGCATTTTGATCATGTTCACTTAATTACCCACCAGTAAATATTTTTCTTGCCCATACACATAGGTTGTGTTTATGGCGTAAAGCGACTTGTGTTCCTCTTTTATCTCTCTTTGTTTCTGTGAGGAGGAACAAAGTAGTCAGTTAATCACAGATGATGAAAGTTACAACTCTCACAAATATGAAAAATGCACTCAAATATAAAAATGTACTTCACACAACTTTAATTAACTAAGTCAGTGACAAAGTCTAGAATAAATATCAGGAAGATAAAGTATTGAAACATCTCCTGCTTTATGCCAATCTAAGGCAGTTCCAGAGCACTAAATAAATATTTTGATCCACCTAATTCAACATAAACTAATGGCACTGAAAAATAACTTCCCTAGTTTCAGATGACACAGGAAATATACTCGAAACAGCCTTTTCTCATGCTTTTGAAAGATCCAACTCCGTTCTTTATTCAAAGATTTGCTCCATTAAAGGAAAAGGAAATTATTCTACAATATTTCATAGCAAGTGGAAGAAATCCTCACCGTTTACCTTTTTATTATTCATTCACAAGGTGTGGGCATTGCTGATTAAACCAGCATTTACTGCCCATCCCTAATTGAGGTGGTGGTGTTGGTCGACTTCTTAAACCACTGCAGTCCATATGACATAGGTTCATCCACAGTGCTATTAGGGAGGGAGCGACAGTGAAGAAATGGTGATTATAGCTGCAAGTCAGGAGGACTGTGGTTTGGAGTGTAACTTGCAGGTGATGGCATTCCCAAATATCTGGTGCTCTTGTCCTTCTATATGGTAGAACCCGTAGGTTTAGAAATCAGTAACAATGCTGCCAATCCACTCTTGATGATGGACATCGAAGTTCCTGACCAAACATACATTCAGTGCCCTTGCAACCCTCAATACATCTTCCAAGTAATGTTTAAGATGGTAGAGAACTAAATTTATCAGCCAGGGGTGGGAATCAGCAGAAGCTTTCCTTGCCCACATTCGACTGATGCCAGGGGACTTCATGAAGTCCAGTGTCAATGTTGAGGACTCCAAGGCCAAGTGCCTCCTGACTGTTTACCACTGTGCCAGCACCTCTGCTGGGTCTGCTGTGTTGTGGGACAGGACATACCCAGAGATGGAAATGTTAGTGTCTGGGATATTGGCTGTTAACGTATGATTCTGTGAGAATGACTATGTCAGACTGTTACTTGACTAGTTTGAGAGACAGTTCTAAAAATTTTGGGAGAAAGTTAGTTGCTAGTATGAGGACTTTTTTGCAGGGTTGAAACGCTTGCATGTGCCACTGCTATTTCCTATGCCTTGGTTGATGTTGAGAGATCTACGTGGTGCATTCATTTTGAGGCTTTTTATTCAATGTTTTAAAGACTTGAACAATGATGTCTTCTTACTGTGCCATCAAATCCCACATCCAAAAGCAAAATAGAGTTCTGAAAATATTTCTTTACAAATCAGATCTCAAGTCCCATATATAATAGAGTGGTTAAGACCTTTAAATTCCAGGACCTAGTGTTACATCCATGGGTTTAAAGGATACTTTCAACACAGCCAGGAACGTAAAAATCCGGCATCAAAATGGTCACTGGTGCTGTTGTGGTGTTCTTTGGACAGTTGTATTGAACAAGTACAGGAAATTTATAATTCACGTTCAACTTTGTAAGGACAAAATCTCCTTTACCATTCACCCTGTGCCTGAAGTATCAGCTCAGAAGGCACAAAATATAATTAAAACTTTTGAGGGCGGGTTGGGGCAGAAATTAAATAGGAGATTCAATTTCCATTTAATATTTTACTGGAGGTTGCAAAGGCAGAGTTGCCAATGAATAAAAATAATACAGGTCTAATGGGTAGAAAATGGATGAAAGGTGACCCTCTGATTCAGATTCATGCTTTTCAATACACCAAAAAACATTTTAAAAGGTTTAAACCCATCTCAATACAGAATAGTACAGAAATCTTCAGGCTTTCATAAAATCTGCACGATTTGTGCACCAGCACATTGCACTACGAGAGGTAATTTTACCAGTCAAAGTACAATGTTACAGAAAAGTTGGTATAATTTTAGATGAGTATTTAGTTCTCACTGAATAGTTTTATAGCGTTCTCTTTAACAACTAATGAAATAAAGCTTTTCTTTTTACTAATTCATTACAATGTAGTAAAGAAGACAATTGTTCAATAATTTGAGTTCCAGGACCCGCACACATTAAAAGGCAAATAATAAGACGAATGCAGCACTATAAAAGTTCTGAGGTGCTCACCGCTAAGTTTCGGCCGAGGAAGCCTTGGAGAATTCCAGTTTTGCCACAGTTTTTCATGCCAATAAGATTACACTGAAACACATTCCTTTGTGTTTGTTTTTTCTGCAGATCTAGTTTTTTATCTCTTGTTACTGCAGGAGAATAAAGTATGGTTAATAAATCATTTATCTGACACAAAGTAAATGCAACTGAAGTTTGTTTTCCACTGAACATATGTTCCAGGTAATGCTGCATTAAGTTTTCAATTCAGGAGGACACTTGGAAATTAAGTGTCTAAAAGTTGTAGGAGCATATTACTGCAGACACTGCAATCTGTCCTGAAAACAAAAAAAATGCTGGACATCACAGTGGGTCAGGCAGCATCCGTGGAGAGAACAAGCTAATGTTTCTAACAGCGTAGGAGCTCTGATGAAGAGTCATCTTGTTAACTAGCTTTCTCTCCACGGATGCTGACTGGCCCGCTCTGATTTCCAGCATTTTTTATTCTCTGCCTAAATGTTGTTGTAGCAGGTGGAATATCAAGGGTCAATATTTGCAGAATTTACCCAATATAGGAAATTTTGAAAGCTGCAGTAGTTATCTTATGTCTCAGCATCCACGCCATAGTATTAAATTATGCTACATGAAGCCCTTACCATTAGTTGTGTAATCAAGTATGGAGAAAGATTAGGATTGTCTGAAATAAGTTGCTCACATTTTTATAATGATCATTGTTGATCATTAAATGGAAAAATACCTTGAATAAAAGCAAACTTCTCCAAACTTTGCTTCACTTTTAAGCAGATGGATCAATAGCATGCAAATTCCAACAGCAATAAGGTTGGGATTGAAACACTTCTGATTTCTTAGGAAATTAAGAGAAATGGGGAGCAGGAAATTGGAGTCAAGATCAATATTAGCATGATTGCATTCAATGGCAGAGCAGGGGTGATGGGTTGTATAGTCTATTGTTCTTGTGGTATGATATTGAGATGTAATCATGAAGGCTTTATTCATGAATATTTGGATAATTAGAACTTGCCATGATGATGGTGGGAAGGTTTAATTCATTTCCTCATACACATATAGTAACATTAAGTGTAGATATGATGAGTATGACACCCATTGCATTTAGGCAAAAAAAACACATTCATGGTATTTTAACTAAAATAATGCACTTAATTTAAAATAAAAGCAAAATACCACAAAAGCTGGAAATCTGATATATAATCAAAGCTCTGGAAAAACTCAGCAGATTTGGTAGCATGTCAAGAGTTAAGAGTCCAAAATGACTGGCCTTCAGATCTGAAGAGGAAGATTAGCTTAATCTGACAGAATTAGTAAGACCTGTAATGAGGGACTATGTAAATCTCAAATTTAATACAGACCTCTGAAAACTAAGTTAGATGGTTATAAATGAACATCTGTGTAACAACGGTTAGAAATAAGGACATCAGTAGAGTTCAAAAAACACAATTAAGACTCTTCTGTATAAAGTTATGTATTTCAGTGTACAACACAGGAGGAGGGTATCAAGGAGGTGGAGATGCCAATATCTCTCCCCTCTGAATATAAACTTTAAATGAAACAGATCACAAATGCTACAAAAAAAATATAAAAGTGACATGCAAAACAGATGGTAGTTTAAAAATGCTTGAGTTTGTCAAAATCAGCTCTATATTATAAACAACTATCTTGTAGATAAGATAGTAAGAACTGCCGATGCTGGAGTCTGAGATAACAGTGTGGAGCTGGATGAACACAGCAGGCCAGGCAGCATCAGAGGAGCAGGAAAGCTGACATTTCGGGTCAGGACCCTTCTACAGAAATCTACAGGTTGGTCTGAATTATTCAGATGATATATACATAGTAAACATTCATTCCCTGATATGTAAAATGTCATTTGGTGCACATTTGGTATCAGCTAAATTCATGAGATTTTCACGAATGTAGGTTTATTGCTATTATCCCTCTTCAGTACGGATTAGTCTAGTAATAAAGTCCCAACATTACATGGTCGAAAGGAGCACACCGGCGTTTTAGATCAAACAGATGGCAACTCCCCATGAAAGTTCAATAAAAGTCCACCGCTTACCAGTGACAGCAGCTGCCTGAGACTCCTGTTCCCTTAGAATGGAGTATCCTAGGTAACCTAAATATTCTAAACACCGCTGAACATCAAGGTACGTGGTCAGCCTAATTCAAAACACAAATATTCAGCTGTTTAAAAGTTTGGGATTTTAAATAGAAAGCAGATAAACATAAGATATGGTGTGAAATTTTCGAAGGAAAATTACTCACGTCCATTGACAAATATAACCCTGATAAGTGACCCATCCCTTGTCATTGGTACAAACAGTGTTGTTGACATCAGGACCCCAAGGTATGTAAGGAAATACTTTGAATAAGTCTTTTAGTTCATCAGGTGACAATGCACAATCCCGATCCTGAAAAGCAACCCAGAAGAATAAAGTTAAGTTAAATAACTCAACATTTATATAGTGCCTTCAAAAAAGTTAAACATCCCATGGCATGTTGCATAAATAAAATGAATGCTGAGCCAAAGAAGAGGTTCAAGAGGTAGCTTTAAAAATAGGTCTTTAGGAAGACAGATTTGGTGGTGAAAAAGACCAGCCAAAAGCATAACTGTCATTACGTTGGAACAGAACGGTGTAAACAACAATGAAAACATAAAGGATAGGCCATTCAAACCCTCAAGCCTACTCCACCATTCAATATGATCATGGCTGATCATCAAGCTTAATATCCTACTCCTGCTCTCCCCCCTACCATCCCTTGATCCCTTTAGCCACAAGAGATACGTTTACCTCTTTTCTGAAAGCACAATGTTTTGGCCTAAACTAACTTCTGTGGTAATTAATTCCACAGGCTCACCACTCTCTGGGTGAAGAAATTTCTTATCTAGTGTCCTAAAAGTCCTTAAACTATGACCCCTGGTTCTGGATTCCCCCACCATCAGGAACATCCTTCCTGCATCTAATCTGTCCGGTCTTTTAGAATTTTATATGTTTCTATAAAATCCCCCTCATTCTTCTAAACCAGAATTGAAGCAACAGACCTTTAAATGTTTTTAGGGCTCAAGGCAGTTATAGAGAGAGGGAGCGGTGAGGCCAATAAGAAATCTTAACAGCAGGATAGGAATTCTAAAATGAAAGCCACCATGGATCATGAAGCAAAGTACAAGCATAGAATGATACTGATATGATATTTCATATAGATCATAGAATGCCAACAGTGTGGAAACAGGTCCTTTGGCCCTACAAGTCCACACCAATCCTTGGAACATCCCATCCAAACCCATTCCCCTAATAACCCACCTAAGCTAGACATCCCTGAACATTACGGGCAATTGAGCACGGCCAATCCACCTAGCCTGCTCATTTTTGGAATTTGGACTGTGGGAGGAAAGCAGAGCACCCGGAGGAAACCCACGCAGACACGGGGAGAACGTGCAAACTCCACACAGACAGTTGCCCGAAAGTGGAATCAAACCCGGGTCCCTGGCACTGTGAGGCAGCAGTGCTAACCACTGAGCCACCACGCCGCGCCAAATTGATGTGATGTTAGCTAGACGATGAAGAAGCTACAGAGGAAGTTTTTTTTATAAATGATGAATTAAGGAATGGAGACATGTGGTATTATGGAATGCGAGGAGATGATATCTGTGTTAAGGTGGTTACAGAGCGAGGTTAGTTTAATGCCAAGGCATGAACAGACTGCTTCAGTGTAAGATGGTGACCAAGGAGGCGAACTGGGTTAATAGCAAAGGAACTGCACTTTGTGGATTGAGAATTGGAAAAGATTTAAGGTTTGGAGATTTTCAGGGTTGCAGAGAATTTCTTGTGTGTTTCCTTGGAACTGAAAAGTTAAAAAAAAATCAAATATTCAGAAGAAATGGGGATGCTTTTTTGTTTTACAAAATTAGTGACTTTGAGAAAAAAAACTTATAAAAGAAACACAAGAGATTGTCTGTTTTCTGATGTAAATTTGCAGACAGACAGTTTAGGAAGCGTCCTGGTTCTGAAGGTTGCCTAGCAACAGCCTCTGATTGAGATGGCGTATGGAGGGCGGTCAGTTATGGACGAGCTTACAAGGAAGCAACGTTATCTCCCTCCCCTGTCGTAAGTAAAAGATAACTCTTAAAGAAAGCCAGTTGAAGAGGTATCCCAGTGTGCTATTTCATGAGAACCAAGAAAAGCTGCAGAAATGAATATCTTGGATCTCCTCACAATCTCTGAAAGCCAAACTGTTAGCTCAATAGTAAGATCTATGTCTAACTGACTTGTTACCTGAATGGATGGTCCCTCAATCATTCTGAAGCTGACAGCAAAATGATTGCGTCAACAAGAAACTAAAAGGTACAGTGAAGAAGTCACCTAATTTTACCCTTTTGGGTCACATTCTCGACCAGTGTTTTCCTTTACTTTTCGACGCATAATTGCTCTGCAGAGTTACTTTGTTTCATCCTGTCTGTGTAAGAATGTGGAATTTATGAATAATATAGTTTAGTCCCGCACAGTAGCTTAATTGATAACCAACAACATAAAGAGAAGCTGCTGGAAAAGCTCAGCAGGCCTGGCAGCATCTGTGGAAAAAAAAATCAGAGTTAACATTTGGACTCGAAAGGTTAACTCTGATTTTCTTTTCCCCCCCGACAGATGCTGCCAGACCTGCTGAGCTTTTCCAGCAACTTTTGTTTATGTTCCTGATTTTCAGCATCTGTAGTTCTTTCAGTTTTTAATTGATAACCAGTCTAGCTAGGCGTTTAAAACACGAATCTGTCTCTAGTAAACAACTTAATTTGAATTTACTGAAGCATTTTGATGAAATTATTTTTTATTTTGAAGAACAGAATCATAGAAAATAGGAACAGTATTACACCATTTGGCCTTTCAAGTCTGCTCTGCCATTCAATATGATCAGCCCAACTCAGTACCCGTTCCCGCTGTCTCCCCATACCCTTTGATCCCTTTTAACCCTAAGCACTATGGCTATCTTCAATAATAATAATAAAAAGAAACAAAATCGGCCATTAGTGATCACATTAGACATGCACACTCTTTGCAAAGCTCGAGCAATAGTGGGGCTTGATTTCTAGTGCACTCCTCCCTTCAGTCATACCAGGGGTAGAACAGGGGATAATGTCAATAGCTTTGCTGTCCCCAATCAGAGAATCCCTACAGTGCAGAAAAAGGCTATTCGGCCCAACAAATCCACACCGACCCTCTGAAGAGCATCCCACCCAGACCCATCCCCCTACCCTTTCCCTGTGCTGCTCTGGACTGTGGGAGGAAACCCACACAGACATGGGAAGAATACATGAACTCCACACAGGGTGGAATCGAACCTGGGTTCCTGGCGCTGAGGCAGCACTGCTAACTGCTAAGCCACCATGCCACCTTTTGTTTTTAGAAACAGGCCATTTAGCCCAACAAATCCACACCGACGCATGCCCCTACCCTGTAACCTTGTACTTCCCATGGCTAAACCACCTAACTTACACATCTCTGGACACTATGGGTAATTTAGCATGGTCAATCCACCTAACCTGCATATCTTTGGACTGTGGGAGGAAACTTTAGCACCTGGCAGAAACGCACACAGAACGTTTAACTGAAGAAAATCGTGAGCCATCCATGAATGTTGGACCAGCTGATCATGCAGGTACAGAAAGAGTGTCAACAGAGTGATAGATGAAATTCGGCACTGGCAGTGTATACGTGGAAACAGATGCTATAATCCTTTTCACTGTCTTGAAGAAGCAGCAGATAAATAAGAATATTAATCCTCGAGCAGATATATGAGAACAAAGATGAGAAAGGAGAAAGGAATGGTTTTGCTGAGGACAAAAGCACAACTGAGTACATTAAAAGGCATATAAGAAGGGAAACTGTTATGACAGTTCATAATATATTATTTGATAACATGGATTCTATAGTAGAGGAAAAATGGATTTTAATATTTCAGTTTTGTGAAGATCTGACCTTTTTTTAAATAAAAGGCCAGAACGTCATTTTGAATGTTGAGTTCAAAACAGCATTTTCAATATATCACATGATTTCAGCTAAATAGCCAGCGCATCACCTGGGGAGTTAATAGCCAAGGTATTTGAGTTTTATGATTGCCAGAAATACAGACAGAGAGAAGCCAGAAGCAAGTCCTTACAGTGGGGAGAGGTCAATACCAGCAGAAATGTGGTTATCAAAAGTTAAGCATTGAGGAATGGGGAGATGCTTAAAAGTTAGTGAGAAGAAGCAGAAGGCTGTGGGAGTGTTGGACAGGAAGACATTCTAAAAGCTGCTGAAGACATGAGTTTAGGGAACCCATGTTAAGCAACAGTGAGCTGAGTTAGTCATCTGTTTTAAATAACATCTAATGAATACACAGTTTGCTGAAAGGAAGCACAGTACAGTCAGGCCAGCTGAACAAGGAGGTGGAGACCTTTGGTTTATCAATCTTGATTTCACTTTGGAATCTTACTTGTCTAGTATTACCATCAGTTGGGACCAAGCAAAACAAAATTAACCAACCATACACTATCAGCTCACCAAATCGTGTTTATCAAAAATACTTTGTAAGAATAAGTATGCATGATGGTTCAGTTCAGTTGTACAGTCTGGAGGAATTTTTAACCTGTGAAAAAGAGGAAATAAGAATCAGTCTTTCATTCACAATGAAGTCACCACTACGCAACAAGTCAATTACCTTATAACGTTCCTGCAGAACTGCAAAGCAATCCAATATTCCATTCCTGTGAATAATGTGACACTGAATAACATGATCATGTAACCTCAATTTTCAACAGGATTCTTAAAAGCTAAACTGAGGGAGCAGTAAGGTTGTGCTAAGTTAAAGAACCATAACAGATATTCATGTAAGAGCTCCAGATCATCAGCATATCCAAACCAATGTAAAACTGACAACCTAATTTCATATCTCCTTCTTTATATAAATTACAAATGCAAATAAAAATCAATCTGGCTTCTTTCCTTTGGTTTCTCTCTCACAAGGGAATGACTTGTGAAGAATGTAATTAATTATTAATCAATTCCCACTATCTGATGTACTATTTGCCCCTTTTCATTCCAGATAAGGGGTAAAAAGATAGCATTTACATATTCACTTTTGCTCCATCCCATTGTCTCCTCAAGAGATCCATTTGTAAAGGGTGAAAAATCTACAACTTTGCATGTTTTAGCACCTCATAGCAGTACAGAATCTACATCCAAGTTACAACTTTCTAAAATCTATGCACCCTTTCCTATCAAAAGAAAGGTCCTGGCTGAACCTAATATCAGATTATACCACAATTTCAAATATTATATTTTGAAGCATCCAGCTGAATTGAATGGCAACCAGCAATTAATTTTTGCATTCAATAAGGTGGGGCAATGAACAAGTGGAAAACACAGGCACACTGAATAAGTAAAGGACCACAGCTAACCTGATTTCCCTCAGCTACAGCACATTGTATTCCTGTGCATCCATTACTGCCATCAAATTACATACTGTGAATGTTAACCAAAACTATGTTTTGAAGTTGTTATTTTGGTTATCTACAGAAATAAATTACACCATTAAATGTACAGATGTCAAAGTCATACAATATGACCTTCTATTTTAGATTGTAATATTGAAAAGAACTGTAACCAAATGTCTGAAATAATACATTCAAAGCAGACTGAATACGGAAAACAAGAATGCTTTATTACGGGAACTAGCTTTGAGAAGTTAGCTTTCTCACACTGTGGTAGCCAAATGATTTTCAGAATTTGGAGGTAAGGCACCAGTTCTTTACAATTAAATAAAAAAAGAAGTAAAACAGATAAATAAAAATGACACGGTGGGACAGACAAAGTATTTAGCTTTGATGGTTTGACCATCATGGCACATGGGATCAGTTGGCTTTCACCATCAAGTTTGTATGTTCCTGTGCCAGATTTGCAAGTTAAGAAACAGAAGTATTGAAGGTGTTGGATTCAATCTGATGAACTTCAACCAGTTACTCTAACTATGGAACTTCTGCTTTGCAGATTCTTATGTGACTATAGCAATTTAAATGCCATCACAGAACAATACCTGCGAAAGCAAATTTCAGGCCTAGATTTTGAATATCTACTTAAAGTATGATACATGAAAAGATTGTAACAAACATATTTTTTGGTGTTGTGTCTAATGGATATTTTTCACTGAAGACTAAACATAAAATGCAAATTAAATATAAACTAATTTTACTCTGCAGTCACAGCAAATCAAAGTAATTCATTGGAGGTGAAGTGCCCAAGATGTTTGAAGGATAAGGTGGCATTTAAATGCAAGATTTAAAAATAATTGATACAAAATATTTATTCGTCAGTCCCAAAACAAAATTTTCACATAAATATTTGCATTTTACTGTTTACTTCATAGCTGTGACAGGGAGTTGCAGTGTATTAGCAGTAATATTAGGCTACCAATCAGAGCTCCAGAGTAATGTTCTGGGGCCATGAGTTCAAATCCATAGCAGATAGTAAAGTCTGAATTCAATAACATAAAAAAAGCTGGAACATAGATATCAATTAGCTAGTCTAATGGTGCCCATTGAACCATTGGTGATTGTCATAAATACCCATCTAGTTTACTAATGTTCTTGACAGAAGGAAATCTCTCACCCATACCTGCATGTGACTCAAGGCCCATGGCAAAATGTTTGATTTTTGACTGTACTGTAGCAAGCCACACAGCTCAAGAGCCATTAGGGATGGGCAATAAATGTTGGCCTTACCAGGGGCACATGTTTTTATTCATAAGGTACAAAAGCAGATCAAGAAATTAAAAGGCAAGAGGTCAGTTTGCTCAGTGATTTTTGAATTTCTCCCTTGCTGTGTAGGAGAACAACAAAATCACCTTTTGTTCACTCCTTGGTCTTCTATTATTTAGCACTAGGTTTTTCTGTCACTTTACAACATCTGCTCTCCCTAGAAAAATTCTTGCATCAATATGCAGCATTTAAAAGTCACTATTCTACAGTGCAATAGAGGAATACTTATCTCCAATACCTACATCGGGAACAGATATTCATGTGTGAGCTCCAGGTCATCATCATATCCAAACCGACGTAAAACTGTCCATGTAGTTTCATGTCTCCCTCTTTGTATAAATAATGTATGCAAAAATAAAAAACCTGCAACAGAGCAGAATGATCAAACATGTGATACAAATTGGTCCTTCACAATATCCAAAACCACCAATTTACAGCAAATGGGTCTGGAAACGGAAACTCAAATTAATATAGCTCTAACACTATACCAATACCATTGGTAATCCTGGTTGTTATAAATTCCAATACCAATACTGAGCTCATGCGCATAATCTAAACTGACGCTTCAGTGCAATATTGACAATGCTGCATTATTAAAAGTGTCAATTTGGCTCTTAATCTTACTACTCTAAACAACAGTCTAGTAATTCGGTGCATTATTTGAAGCACTGGATTTTCCTGGTGCTGTGACCAAAATTTCATTCTCAAGCAACATCCACAAAGATTAACTGAACTTTGATTTAACTGAATACAAATACAGCTTCAAATTGTAACATGGCTACTTATTTGCTCACATAAGTCATTGGACTTCCATAGCATTCTAATCTGATTTGAGAGGCACAAATGTATATTAGCTATGACTTTATTCCCTGGGTTAAATAGGGGAAAATATAATTAACAGTGAAATGCTGGCTTAAGTCTTTAATGACCCTTATGAGAATTATGATTGTAAATTAGATCTCAATGGCTATGTCCTCCACTATGGTGGCTGGGTCCATAAATTAATAGGACAAGGGAGCATTGGAACCTTAACTCACTGAGGAGTCAGATGCAAGGCAGAACATAAAATGTTAGATTTAAAAAAAAACATTATTCCACATAGTTCAGGAAATAATTAAAAAACAGATAAAATTATGTCGCCTCAATTTATGGTCTCAGGCTGAGATACAGCCTTATGAAGTTCCTTCATTTCAGTGAAGTTCCTTATCACGCAGTTTATTGCGGATCACCCATAAATAATGAATAGATTCACTATTACATGTTTGTCCCTGCTGAGTTTGTCCTGATATTACTGATTTAAAGTGATAACATTTCTTGGTGGTACTTGCCTTATTAAACACTCAAAACAGGGATCAATCTCAATTGATGCATTAATTCAATGAATGCAATAATGCAAACAAATTTTCCTTTTGTGCTTTTTATTGACCGAAAATAATCAAAATAAATCTCCATTTCATTGGGATTGGAAGATGAATGTATGAATGTTCAATTTACTGGTGACGCAAAGACAGGAGAGTAGAGTGTGAAGATGATGTAAGTGATATTGATTAATTAAAAAGCAGGGCAAAAATTTGGCTAACACTGTATTATGTGGGGAAAAAGAAGAACTTGTCCTCTTGCCCAGGAAGTATAGAAAGAACATATTTAAAGAGAGAGATAGGACAGAACTTGGTGGTACGGATGGATTTGGGTGTCCTGATTCATGAATTACCGAAAGTTAGTATGCAGGTACAGCAAGTGATTAGGAAGGCAAATGGAATGTTGCCACTTATTGCAAGAATGGAATATAAAAGTAGGAAGGTTTTGCTACAGTTGTACAGGGTTTTAGTTGAGATCACATAAGGGCAGCACAGTGGCTCAGTGGTTACCACTGCCGCTTCACAATGCCAGGGTCTCTGGTTCAATTCCAGCCTCATGCAACTGTCTGTGTGGATTTTACACATTCTCTCCATTTCCTCTGGGTACTTTGGTTTCTTCCCACAGTCCAAAGATGTGCAGGGTAGGTGGACTGGTCATGCTAAATTGCCCATATTGTCCAGGGATGCCTGGGTTAGTTGGATTAGCCATGGGAAATGCAGAGTTACATGGATAGGGTAAGGGGGTGAGTCTGGGTGGGATGCTCTTCAGAGGGGCAAATGGCCTGCTTCCACACTGAAGGGATTCTATGAACAGTCTATAGAGTCATGTGTTGTGCTATGAGGAAATCAGAAGAATGACAGATGATCTTAATGAAACATAAGAACCATTGAGAACTTGACAGGGTGGATTATTTAAGAATGTTTCACCTATGGGGGGACTAGAACCAGGGTTAACAGCTTAAAAAGGGATTTCCCACTTAAGACTGAGATAAGGAGGAAAGGAAAGATGAGAGTTTTCAAGACAATAGAATGCTCCTTCCCAGAGAGAAATGGAGGCAAGAGAGACAGTCAGTCAAAGTGTTGTGGTGTAGACAGGAAAGCAGAACTCTCAATCAGATCTGCCATGATCGTGTGAAACGACAGAGCAGGCTTGATGGGTCAAACGGCCTACTCCTGCTCCTTGTGCATACAAGATGCAGAGGATAATGATAATTTCAATCTCTGAAGCTGTTTACATTCCCATGGAATTGTTCCTATTAATAACATTCTCGGTATTTCAAACTCTTTGTAGAAAATTGGACTGCTAAGAAGCAACAGGAAACTTGGCAGGAAGTATTCCATTGGCAGTCACGAGATGCCAAGACTAAAAATGGTTATTCTCTGCTTTCTCCAGTCCTAAATTCTGTTAGAAATACAACATACCACAGATCCGAAACCCACACCTGGGCACATTTACAGCAAAAACATATATTTAGTGTATAAATTGCACTATTCTAATATCACTTTTCATATCTCAGCTGCGTTACTATGAACAAGGCACCAAGCACAAAAAGGAGAAAGAAATCATATTCCCCAAAGCCTGGGTCAGGTCACTCTATAGCCCTATCAGCTGCAGGTAGTGCCAGTTCACGAATAACAGGGATAAGGAAATGAGAATAGAATCTTCTACACAATCGAATTTGAAGTTAAAATAAATAAAACGTTATTCGTTGAAGACAGAATGCTAATCGCAAAGTTCTTGCATGCTGTTACAGGAGACAACAATTAACTAACATGCACATGTGAATACACTCCCCTCTTGTGGCAAGATCAAGCAGGAATTTATTCAATGAAGCACTGTCTGTGGCCTATCTAGTAAACTCTCACACAGTGTTAAAACTGAATTCCTACATAGCTTTGGAAAAGATGGTTGTGATTATTTTTCAGCATAAATGTGGTAAATTTGGAATGAAGTTAAATGACCTGCTCTGTCATTTCACACAATCATGGCAGGTCCGATTGAGGGTTCTGCTTTCCTATCTACCCCAAAACACTTTGACTGTCTCTCTTGCCTCCATTGCTCTCTGGGAAAGAGCATTCCATTGTCTTAAAAACCCCCATCTTTCCTTTCCTTTAAGGCAGGCGATGGCCTAGTGGTATTATCACTAGGCTGTTAATCCAGAGACCCACAGCAGATGGTGGAATTTGAATTCAATAAATATGTGGAATTAAGAATCTAATGATGACTGTGAATCCATTGTCGATTGTTGGAAAAACCCATCTGGTTCACTAGTGATCTTTAGGGAAGGAAAATGCCGTCCTGACCTTGTCTGGCCTACATGTGACTCCAGATCCACAGCAATGTGGTTGACTCTTGACTGCTGCCTGGGCAATAAATGCTGCCTGGCCAGCGACACCCACATCCCGTGAATGAATAAAGAAAAAAAAAAGTCATGCAAATTCCAACAACAGGCTCCAGCCTCAATTGTTCATAAACTATATTTTAAAAAGTTTAAAAATTTTAACACTTCAGTTTGACAAAACGGAGCTCAATCCCTCCCATTCATAAAACATTATCATGGCCCAGTTTTGTCATGCACCTGTCATGTGACTTGGGTCATTAGCTTTTAGTTGGAAAATAAATCTTTCTAACAAACACTGAACATTAGGGGCTTCTTTAAATTGCTCTAAATTAGAAAAGCATACTATTTTTAATGCAGCTGCTATACTTGGATTTAACAGAACACTAGAAAGTCAGGGCTGATTTTATTTTTATTCACTTGGGGGAAATGGTTGTCACTGGCTGGGGAGCATTTACTGCCTTGTTGCCCTTGAGAAGGTGGTTGTGTGCTGCCTTCTTGAACCGCTGCAATCTATGCGCTTAAGGTTGACCCACAAAACTGTTAGGGAGAGAATTCAAAGACTTTGATCAAACAACAGAGAAGGAAGACTGATATATTTCCAAGTCAGGATGAAGTGTGGCTTGGAGGGGAACTTACTGGAGCTGCCATTCCAGTGTATCCGCTGTCCTTGCCCTAGAAAAAAATTGGTTATAGGTTTGGAATGTGCTGTCTAAGGATCATTGGTGAATTTCTACAGTGCATCTTGTAGAATGTACACACTACTACTACTGAGCATCGGTGGTGAAGGGAGTGGATGCACTGCCAAATCAAGTGGGCTTTGTCCTGGATGGTGTCAAGCCTCTTAAGTGTTGTTGAAGTTGGACTCAGCAGTGGTAAGTGGGGAGTATTCCATTATCCTCCTGATTTGTGCTTTGCAGAAGGTGGACAGGTTCTGGGGAGTCAGGACAATACTCACTACAGTATTCCGAGACTCTGACCTGCTTTTGTAGCCACTGTATTTAGATGACAGGTCCAGTTCAGTTTCTGGTGAATGATAACCCTCCCAGGATACTGACAGTGGGGGATTCAATGATGGTAATATCATTGCATGTCAAGGAATAGTGCTTGGATTGTCTCTTATTGGAGATGGTCATTGCCGACATTTGAGTGGCAAGAATGTTAGTTGCTCTTTTCAGCCCAAGCCTGAATACTGTCCCGGTCTTGCTGCATTTATGTACGGAGTGTTTCAATATCCGAGGAGCCCCAAATGGTGGTGAACATTGTGCAATCATCAGCGAGCATCCCCACTTCTGACTTGTACCACATTTTCCATACTACATTCTTCACATCTTCCAGAGCTTAAGGTGCAAATGAGGTATTAAAACAAGAAAAGTAAGTAATCTAAAGAACAGCAAATTTAACACAAGGTAAGTTAAAGCATGGCAGTGCATCACAGTGGAATGTTTAGCTTGTAATATGGTAAGTCATGGACTCTAATGATGTCCAAGACAATCACATGTGCAGCTACAGAAACTGGAGTTCTGGGTTTCAAAGCGTCAATAGTAGCTGGAGTCACTGTGGCACATCCATGGATAGCATATTCAGAGAGGCATTCACACTGCAGCTTAAGGGCCTGGAGACAGAAATGAACAGGTGAACTTCACACAGTTCAAGAGAAATAGGCAGTTAATGCAGAACAACCCCATGGTCCCATTCAAAATATGGCTGTAAATTTTGGGTGCTAACTCCTCATGGGAATATAGTCAGAGACATGTTTATGGCACAACATAGATACAATGGTGCATAGGTCATTAAAGGTGGCAGGACAGATGCAGAGAGTAGTTAATAAAGCACACAGTAAACTGAGTTTTATTAGCAGGGGCATAAAGCAAGAGCAAAGAGGAAGTGCTGAACTTGCACAAACTTGCTAGACCGCAGGTGGAGAACCGTGATCAGTTCTGGGTGCCACACTATGGGAAGTATATCAATACATAGGAGAGTGTGCACAAGAGATTTACAAAAAATATCTCCAGAGATAAGAAATATTAGTTATGTGGATGGATTAGAGGGGCTTGTATTGTTTTTTGGACTGAAAAAGACTAAAAGGAAATCCAAAAGAATTTTTCAAAATCATGAAGGGTCTGGATTGAGTAGATAGTGAGAAATTGTTCCTACTCGGTAAAAGGGTCTAGAACGAGAGGGCAAATGATTTGAAGTAATTTGCAAACGTAGAAAATGTGACATCACACAGGCAGTGGTTCAGGTCTGGAATGCATTGCATGAAAATATGACGGAGGCACAGGTAGGATCAATTGAAGAAATCAGGAGGGCATTCGATGATTATTTCTAAAGAAACTTGAGAATGCTTATTGGATGAAGGGCTGATAACTCTCCACCCACCCACCCCTCTACCCGTGTCATACACTCCTGCAATTCCACAGATGCAAAGTTTACCTTTCAACGTTAGCCCATTATCGGCGACACCATCACTCATGTTCTTCCGTACTACATTCTTCACATCTTCCAGAGCTTGAGGTGCCAATGGGGTGTTAAAACAGGTTCTCTAAATTAAATAGATTAGTAACAGTCACAAAATGTTCACAATAAAGCAAGTTCACTAACCAGGACAGTTGAGTGACAATTAGTATTGGGTTGGAAAGACATTTTTGTAATGTCTAGGAGACTGGGATTCAAACTAAGACCCATGACATCCATTTACTACTCTTAATCTTTTCTCTAAAGCCTGCCAGTGACCAGTAATCAGTACTTTCCATTCAGCAAATATGAAAGGCTGCAAAGGAAGGTCTAACACAGAACCTAAGATTTACTAGGTCTGTGACATGGTCAAGATTCTGGATTTTGGGCTTTTTAATATATTGAAAGAACGATAGATGGAAAAATGCACATGTAGCAATTCATGTCATATGAACATAAAGGTCTTCAATATACATTTATACAGTCTCAAACTGAAAATACAGGAAAATCAATGCTTGAAATCAATGCACATAGCTCTAACACCGTTCATTAAGGTGGTCCAGAGCCATACACATCTTTGAATTACATTTTTCAATTCATATTGAATTAGCCACTTCATCGATCCGAGATTTAAAAAAAAACTTTCACAGCATTTTTTAAATGACCACGGCTTTGTATGTATCTAACTTACACGGCCTGGTGTCATACATTGCTTTACAATGCCACTGTGAAGTGCCTTGGAATGTTTTATTACAACAAGGGAGCTATACAAGGAAGCACGGTGGCTCAGTGATTAGCACTGCTTCCTCATCACCAGGGACCTGGGTTCGATTCCACCATCAGGCGACTGTCTGTGTGGAGTTTACACATTCCCCCCCTACGTCTGCGTGGGTTTCCTCCAGGTGTTCTGGTTTCCTCCCACAGTCCAAAGATGTGCAAGCTAGGTGGATTGACCATGCTAAATTGCCCATAGTGTTTAGGGAGGTGTAGATTCTCCATCTGCGGTCTAGCAAGTTTGTACAAGTTCAGCACTTCCTCTTTGCTCTTGCTTAGCCATTGGAAATGCAGGGTTACAGGGAAAGGGTAGGGGGTTGGGACTGGGTGGGATGCTCTTCAGAGGGCCTGTTTCGACATTGTGGGGAATCTATGATTCTATGACATGGCCTTCCCTTACTAATTCTATTTGGTTGGCCTTTCTAGGTCGAAACAATTTCAAATAATGGAAAGCACTGTTACGTCAAGGCGTGTGCATACACTAGATTTCTACCTGGAAAAAATTGAGTTCTGCATCATTGAGAATCCCATCGTTATCCTGGTCTGATATTTTAAAAATACGAGTTAAGGCTTTGATACAGGCAGGCTTCATCTGTGAAGAGATAAACAAATGAAACAAGTTAGGCTCTAACCAGTAAACCTTTCTGACTTATACTGTCTGATGAAAAACCAAAGTAAAAATGTTTTAACAGCTAAGACTCAGCTATCCAAGATTCAGGGTTGAATAATGGAAAGCACTCTCAGTGACACAATATGTCAAGGCTTTGGCTCACTAGAGTGCCAGGCTTCAGGTTCATGACCACAATCTCTTCTCAACTCCACAATCTTGATAGGACCAGATAGTTAGGATAAGGCAAAAAAGGCTAGAAAAGCTGAAAAGAGACTTATGTTTATACAGCACCTTTTGAGATAGATCGTCAAACGTCTTTTTCACAAATGAAATATTTTTAAAACGTAGTCATTGCTAATTTTAGCAGCTTTTGTGGACCTATTAAGCAGGTGGAATAGCTGACTCCTGCTCTTAATTCATATGTTCCTGTAACTCAAGAGTGGCCCTTAAAGACCCTGGATAACAGATTTCCTGCACATAAATTGTTCAGGAATGAGGTTTACTCAATACAATGCAAACAGAGACATCACATAGAAGCATTAAGGCATGTTAGCACATTGGAAGGACACAGGTATTCTTTTAGCCAGGGTCATCTTTACCTCTTTCTCTTCTGGGCAATACAGTGGACCTGTTGGGTGCAGAACAGCTTTCTGTGCGTAGTAAAATAGCTCAGAGATGTTCTTCAGGTTCTTTGCTGAACACTGGAAAATTTAACAAAAATTCATATTTTGAACAGTTTAAAAATAATCCAATAGTTACAGTACATATGAGCTGAACTAGTAAGACATTTTTACAAATAATTCTTAATGGGGCCAACAAAAGATTACTTTCTTTGCGAGAAAATCTCCACAGAATTGACCATATCAGATTGTAAAATAATTCAAATATTTCTGTAAAACCACATTATTAATGCTGCCTGACTGCCTTTTTATGACAAACAAGCTAGTTGTTACATAAAAGTAAATTCACAGGTTTTGCGAAGTTACAATGAAAACAAGCTGGACCTGGTGAACCGAGTATGTGATATAAACAATCAATCAATGATTGTAAAATTGCTTGGGACATTTAAGTGTTGTTGGCAAGGCAGGCATTTCCTGCATATATGTAGTTGCCCCTGAGGAAGTGGTTTTAGGTCACCTTCTTGAACCACTGCAGGCCATGGGCTGAAGCCAAGGAAATATGGCATTCATATTTGTAACTTGTGATTCAGAAAGACAGCTGTTGACACAAAAGCTTATTCATGAGATTCTAACATTACACCAATGATAAATGATGTGCCAATCAATAAACCTTTGATTAGTGCCCACTTGCAGCAATATAACAATCAGCAGTTCCCTTCTCCCATGAAAACCTCAATCATACAATTAGAAAGTTTCCGGGGTGGGGGTGGGGAGGAAGAAGAGAGCATAAGAAACAGAGACTTACATAGTCATGCAGTTGAACAGACTTTCAACTGCCTTAGCTTGATACGCTAAAATCAATTAAATGCTCCTCTTCATACAACAGCAATTCAACATTGCTAATCCAATATGCAGGACTGAAAGAATGACCTACCTCAACACAAGTCTCTATTTCAGTGTACTGGTTCATTATGGGAAGAATAGCTTCCATGCTACTATGTTCTACAAGATCAGATTTATTTCCCACCAGTATGAGGGGCATTCTGGAAAAACAATACATTTATAGAGATTAAGGTTGGTTCACACATCTGATTTAAAAACAGATTTTGATTTTCTGTAGTAATTTTGATTTAATTCTAAATTTCTTATTAAATAAACAGAGAGCAAGGCAATATCTTGCTATATACAAGTCAAATAGCAAAAACTCTCTTTAATCATTTAACTTTCTAACCTTTCAAACCAAGTTGCTGTACTTAACTAATTTCACTGTACCTGCTATCCTTATCAGTCCTGTCATTTATTAGAGGAATCCATCGACTTGTTACCTGCAACAGGCAAATATTTAATTTTGTAACAATCAGCTTCAAAATTTAGCCAAAGAAAATCAGATTGACTAGTTCTGAAAGAAATTGGTGTACAAAATATTTTTTCAATCCGATACTTGATATATTTTAACATTTGAATTACACCCACCTTGTCAATGGAATTTTTGCTATTTACAGCATACACTATACAGATTACATTAGCCTGCAACAGAAAGCATAAAATAAGTAGACTTAAATCAGTTTGCACAACTAGAAACATTGATCAGCTTTCTTTAAATACAGTGAAGTCCTGCCATTTTCTGGGTGCTTCTGGAGACTGTCACGATTGTTCATTTTTGTGAATGCATATGCAGTGCACTCAGTTAGTCCCAAAGACTCTCAGATCAGCAAACACTTGAGATAACAAGGTGTAGAGCTGGATGAACACAGCAGGCCAAGCAGCATCAGAGGAGCAGGAAAGCTGATGTTTCGGGCCTAGACCCTTCTTCAGAAATTTCTACTGTTTCTAGCAAATAGTCGAGTTGTACTTATTGATAAAATAAAAAGCATTGTGTGGAAAAGCAAATCCAAAGACGATGGACAACAGAATGACAAGACTTCACTGTAAATAAAACACAATAATGGCACTGATGGATACACTAAAGGAGTTTGGATTGTTAAAGTAGTTGATATACTTTCCTCATTGTTCAGTAGTAAAGATTGAAGGAGACCAATAATCTAAAAAGAAATTCAAACTCAGCTAACTGATGTAACTAAACCAGAAAGTTTCATATTTTAAACCAAAACTTGTACTGTACAAGAACTAAACAAAGCAAGTACTAATAACTTAATACATTTCTAAACCCATTGTTTTAAAACCCCAAATCTCAATGGATCACTCCTTGTTCTATTTTTATTCCCACCCTGGAGTTCCACTAAACATTACAAGATCTTAAGGGCTCCTTCATTTCTCCTGGGACAAAATCAAGGTGTGCCACAGCTCTCACAGATTAACCAGATTCTCCTCAATTTGAGTGGGCAAATACATGGCAGACAAGTATAATGTGAAAAAAATGTGATGTTACCCATTTTGGTAGCAAAACCAGGAAGGCAGATTACTACATAAATGGTGAAAGATTAGGAAAAGGGGACTTGCAATGAGATTTGGGCATCCTTGTAAACCAGTTGCTGAAAATAAGGATGCAGGTGCAACAGGTGAAGGAGGCAAATGGTGCGCTGGAATTTTGGCCTTCATAGTGAGAGGATTCAAGGAGCAAGGATGACTTGCCGTAGGGCCTTGATGAGGCCATACCTAGAATATTGTGTGCAGTTTGGTCTCCTTATCTGAGGAAGTATGTTTTAGATATGCAGAGAGTGTAACAAAAGTTTACCAGACCGATTGTTGTGATTGTAGCACTGAGGTACGAAGTTAGACTGGACCAGTTAGAAATACATTCATTGGAGTTTAGAAGGATGATGGGAGATCTCATAGAAATCTTTAAAATTCTAAAAGAACAAGATAGGGTAAACAGAGGAAGGACGTTCTGGAGTCCAGAACTAGTAGTTACATTCTAGAGTCATTTATGACTGATAGGAGGAGAAATTTCTACACCCAGAGGGTGGTAAGTCTGTGGAATTCTCTGTCACAAGTAGTATTTCAGGCCAAAACATTGAACAAAGAAGAACAAAGAACAAAACAGCCCTCCAAGCATGCGCTGACACATTTTGCCCTTCCATATTAAAACTGTCTTCACTTGCAGTATCTGTATCCCTCTATTCCCTTCCTATTCATGTATTCGTCCAGATGCTTCTTGAACGCTGCTATTGTGTCTGCTTCCACCACCTCCTCTGGCAGCATGTTCCAGGCACTCGTCACCCTTTGTGAGAAGTACATGCCTTGCACATCTCTTTTAAACTTCACCCCTCACACCTTGAACCTGTGTCCCCCAGTAATTGATCCCTACATCCTGGGAAAAAGCCTCATACTTTCCACTCTATCCATGGCATTCATAATCTTATAAACTTCTGTCAGGTCACCCCTCAACCTCCCGCATTCCAGTGGAAACAAACCGAGTCAATCCAACCCTTCTTCATTGTTGAAATCCCCCATACCAGGCAACATCCTGGTAAACCTTTTCTGAACCCTCTCCAAAGCATCCACATCATTCTGGTAGTGTGGTGACCAGAACTGTATGCAATATTCCAAGTGTGACCTAACAAAAGTTTTATAAAGCTGCAGTATAACTTGCCTAACCTTATACTTAATGCCCCTTCTAAGGGAAGCATGCCATAGGCCTTTTTTATGACCTTACCTACCTGCTCGGTGACCTTTCAGTGATCTGTGGACCTGCACACCCAGATCCCTCTGCAAATCAATACTCCTAAGGGTTCTGCCGTTCACTGTATAATTTCCACCTGTACTTGACCTTCCAAAATGCATCACCTCACATTTGTCCAGATTAAAATCCATGTGCCATTTTTCTGCCCATGCCTCCAACTGATCTATATCCTGCTGTATCCTCTGACAATCCTCCTCACTATCTGCAACTCCATTATCATTGTATCATCCCCAAACTTACTAATTAGGCTAGCTATGTTTTCCTCCAAATCATTTATGCAGATCACGAACAGCAGAGATCCTAGCACTGATCACTGTGGAACACCACTAGTCCCAGCCCTCCATTCTGAAAAGCATTCTTCCACCGCTACCCTCTGTCTCCAATGACTAAGCCAGTTCTGTATCCATCTTGACAGCTCACCCCTAATACCATGTGACTTCACCTTTTGTACCAGTCTGCCATGAGGGACCTTGTCAAAGGCTTTACTGATGTCCATGTAGATAACATCAACCGCTTTTCCCTTATCAATCATCTTTGTCACCTCCTCAAAAAACTTGATTAAGTTAGTGAGTCATGTCCTCCCTCACGCAAAACCATGCTGTTTATTGCTAATCAGTCCATTTGCTTCTAAATGCTTATAGATCTTGTCCTTGAGAATCTTTCTCAATAATTTCCCTACCACTGACATGAGGCTCACAGGCCTGTAAGTTCCAGGACTATCCCTGCTACTCTTCTTAAACAACGGGACAATGTTGGCTATTCTCCAGTTCTCCGGGACCTCACCTTTGGCCGAGGATACAAAGATGTCTGTCAATGCTCCAGCATTTTGTAATCTTGCCTCCATCAATATTCTGGGATAGATCCCATCAGGATGTGGGGACTTATCCATCTTAATACCTTTTAAGATGCACAACACTGGTTCCTTTTTAATAGCAACATGGCTTAGAAATTCGACACTCCCTTCGCTGACATCATCCACCACCAATTCCTTCTCTTTGGTGAATACCGATATAATGTATTCATTTAAGACCTCACCTACCTCTTCTGCTTCCACATAGATTCCCTCCTTTTTCCTTGAGTGGGTCAACCCTTTCCGTGGCTACCCTGAATGTCTGCAAGAAGTTAGATATATTATGGCTAAAGGGATCAAAGAGTATAGGGAGAAAGCAGGAACATGGTACTGAGTTGGATGATCAGCCATGGTCATATTGAACGGCACAGCAGACGTGAAGGGCCAAATGGCCAACTCCTGCTCCTATTTATTTGGTTCTGGCTATTCTTAAAGTACGAGATGTTTGGAGTTCTTCCACTAGCATTCAGCCAGGTGACTCTCCAATTCTCTTTAAGATTATGGAAAAAACAGTTCAAGAATGGGGCTCATTGCTTTCTTGCTCCATTACTAAAATCAGCCCTTTGCTCCAGTCTCAGCTGCTGGTATATTTTTAAACTGTGCTAACTCCAATCATAAACTGCCTGTTTTCTATGAAATTTTATGGAGATAAAACTGAATCAAAAGAGTAGTTCTCTGTAACCTATTCCTTTGGAGCATGATACACATCTGGGATGTTTCAAAGAGAGATTTCAAGTCATTAATTATAATTGCCAACTGTCGTTTAATCTGAAATCCATACTGATACTTCCTCTTTTTTCACCTGTTGCTTTCAAATCTTCCTTTGATCTCGAACTTATATGGATAATTTAAACCCTTATGGAGACCAATGTGGATCATAAAAAAGGTCTTTCACACAAACTATATTAACTTCAGGCTCACCTTTGAAATTTCATTATGAAGTTGTTCCTCTGTCTGTTCTGCTTCTGTTGGTGAGAAACGTGTTAGACTACAGATTACAGGATTGCCATTATGGTGAAATGCATTTAAGAACATTTTAAAAGAATCCCACAAGGTGCTTGGAGATGTTCACATTTCAGAAATAACATCAAGTAAAAATTGGACAAACCAATAAAAGCAGGTACTTTTACATTTAAAAGCCTGAATCACATCCTGAAAATAAAAACCCAGAAAATGTTTACAAATACTAGTCCTAGATTATTTTACCCCAACCTCCATCTTCCAAGAAGGTATTATATGCTAAACCATCCAATTTAAGAAGCAACCTTATCGCTTAACAAGAGTGACTAAATATAACTAGTGAAGCATAAGGCAATAACACACCATTTTGTTAAAAGGACAGAGACAAGATATGGCAAACTATTAAAAAGAAGTTTGTAAATTTCTAAATTTCATTGAGCACAAGTCAAATCTACTCAACCTCTTTTTATAAGACAGCTCTCCATACTCGTTATGAGCCTAGTGAATCTTCTCTGGCCTACCTTAAATGCAAGTATCTCTTTCCTTAGATAAGGGGAACCAAAACTGTTCAGTGTTCCAGCTGTGATCTGACTAGTTCTTTGTACCATTTTAGCAAGCCTCCCGACTTTTATACTCTATTTCCTTTGAGGTAAAGGCCAACATTTTATTTGCCTTCTCAATACCCTCTGAACTAGAATGCTAGCTTTTTAATGACTCATGCATGAAGATTACCAAATCTCTATGTTCTGTAGCTTTCTGCAGTCCTCCATTTACATAATATTAAGCTTTTCCACTCATCCTGCCAAAATGCATAATATCACATTTTCCCAGATTACATTCCACCTACCAAGTTTTTGCCTACTCACTACACCTGTCTATACCCCTCTGCAAAATTTTTGCGTCATCTTCAACACTTGTCTTCCTACCTATTTTTGTCTCATCCACAATCTTGGCAATAGCACATTCACATTCATCATCCAAGTCACTAATATGTACTGTATAAAACTGTGGTCCCTGCACTGATCCCTGGGGCACTTCACAAGCTACAGGTTACCATCTCCTTATCCCAACTCTCTCTTCGATTAGTCAAACATATATCCATGCTAATGTACTACCTTCAACGCCACGGATCTTATTAATTAGTACAATGCTTTCTGAAAATCCAAGTATATTAAGTTCACAACTTCCCCTTTATCCATCCAGTTTGTTACCTCAGAATGTGACAGAACATGATTTCCCTATCATAAAGCCTGTTCAATCATATTACATATTTCTAAATGCTCTTTCATTATATCGTTTTATCAAATGGAATAAAATTAGAACACTTTAAAACACAATGGTAGAAGAAAATTAAATTACTTGGGTTATTCAACATCCACCATAGTCTGCCACTTTTGCAATATTAATCCCTCAGAATTTTTTACCCTTTAAGGTTCTTGCTAAATTTAAGAAATTAAATGATGTTAGTTTATCAATACTGAGAAGTACAGTTTGAAACCATGCAACTATAATTTTGTAGTCTGTTTAACATTTGGCAGCTGTAGATAGGCGAATAAAATAGCAGGTTTGGAATTAAAACATGCACTCTGTTCTCAGGTACGACAGACTAACTGGAGGTAAAATGTTGCAATTTAATGTTGTGAGCACTCACTTTGAATAGGACTTTAATGCTGAGTCTCATAGAAATATCTATTCCAATTATTTAAAGTTGGAATGGGCCAAGTCGAGTGGTTCTTAAGGTATCACACCTTGCAATTAGCATTACCCTGATCAGAGCACGTTGCAACTATTAATGATAAAGCACAAAAGCCCATTGTATCTGTGTAACTCAAAAGAGCTATCCAATTAATTTCCTTTTCTGCAGCCTTGCAAATATAATCCCTTCAAAAAGGCATCCAATTCTCTGTTAATATTGAAGCTACTTTCAACATCTGTTTTTTAGGCAGTTCATTTTGAACATAACTTATTATGTGAAAAAACTCCATCTCCCCTCTTGGTTCTTGTATCAATTACATGTCCGCTGGTCACCAGTAGAAACAGTTTTTCCACATTTACTCGATCAAAATCTCTTGATAATTTAGACCAATCTCTTTCTATGATACAGTCAACACAGTGCATTCCAGATTTTACCATGTGCTGTGTGAACCATTTACTCCTCATGTTGTCTCCACTTCTTTTGCCAAACACTTTAAGGTTCCTTTCAGAGAATGCCAGTTTATCAGAATTTGACACACAAAGAAAGAGACAAACTATAAAGATAGATGGTTTGCTCAAAGAGGTGTGATTTAAAAACTGACTCAACAGAGGAGGAGATTGGAGAAGTTAAGCGAAGAAGATAGCTGAAATCACAACCGCTAATTTAAAAACATTTTTCGCTATTTTCTTCCATCCTTTCCTGGAGATGTGACTTCATGCTGTGGAACTGCAGCACTGGCTATGGGCATTCATTGATACTTCACCCGAGTAGCTATTTCCCACCTGTAGTATCAGGGGAATATCAAATCAAAATAGGCACACAGTCTCACATACATGAAACTTCTAGCTGAGACAAGAAAACTGCACTTTCAGTGATTTTTCTCTTCCTTAATCCAGGGCACAAAGATCAACTGCACCACCTAAGAACAATTTCTCAAAACAGATTTGGAAGTTAAATCTGGGATTTCTTTTGTTCGTTTGTATGAAGATTTCACACGCTCATCACTACATCTCTGAAATCAACCTAGTGAACAATAAATAAGGTTCAAGTGAGTTAGTGAAATCATATTGCTGATACTGTAGACACTTGTCAAGAGGTCCCAAGCTAGCAATGCCTCAAGCGAATTTAGTTACAGACAAGGCAATGCTTCCTAGGAATAAAATCAATTCTGATGATGCATCCTTCTTTACCTGAATAGTCTACTATGTGTGTGGGAACCTTCTCTGGAGTGACATCTGCGGGAATAGTAATTTCTTCTGCACGCAGAGGAACCTTTAAGAAAGCAAAACATCATTGTGCAAAGTGATGCACCCACAGGCAATGGTTAATTCACATACTCCACATTAACCTTATTCCCTCTACCACTTGCCCAGTAATAAAAGTCAAAATATTGTGTGGATACAGGAAGACAAATAACATTTCAGTCCTTGATCTTCCACCAGAATAATCTGACCAGTAGTTTCAGCAGTCATTTGGCACAAGATAAATAATGCAACTCTGTATATAATATACACAGGAAAGTAGTCTTAAAATTGACATTAGCAACTCCAGGAAGTTCCATTTTCAAACACAAATTTGTGCAAAAAAAAATTAAATATGCAGAGGCGGTTGGTACAGTAAGTGGTTTCAATACTGAAAACATCTAAATAATATTTCACTCCAAGATAATATCGTTTCCAAGATACTTTCTGTGTCAGCTGTAGGTTCAATTGCTAGCACTCACGCCTAAATAAGGTAAAATTACCACAGTCCCCGAAAGACCACAGTGCTGCTCTCTCATTCTACAGCAATGGCTGGTGGTGGTTTAACCCAAAGGTCACCATGCCTCAGGCATGAGAAGGAGAATCCTCGTGGTAACCTCAGCCGGTTTGGGAATTAAACTTGCACTGTATTACTCTGCATGCTAACCAGTAATCCAGTCAATTGAGCTAACCGGCCCCAATGAGGTGGTTCGGGTTCAAATCCCAGGTCAGAGATTTGATCACTATGATTTAAGATGACACCTCAATGCAGTACTGACGGAATATTGTGCTGAGTATTGGCTTTCATATGGGGTGTTAACCAATGCCCCTTCTATTTTCTGAAGTAGACAAAAAGATAAACTGGGTTTTTATGACAACTGACAATGGCTACCATTTGGTTAGCTTTTTACTCCAGTTTTATGCTAAGTTCAAATCTCACCATTCAATATTCCCTCAGTACTGAAAATCTCACCATGGTGGGACTCAAATCCATAGCCCCAGAATATTGGAATTTGCATTACCGATTCAGTAAACTGTTTTAGGATAGCTTGCCTTTCTGAATTGTTTTCCAGTTGTGGGTAACCCACAACAGATTCAAACATAATCTGTTTATAATTGCCCAGATACTGCTGGACCTGATTATTTCTAACAAGTTTTTTTTTTCAAATTTAAAAGACTCCAGCATCTAAATAGTGTTGGCACTGAGTGTTGTAACTAAACGGTGTTATATTTTCCAGATTTGTGTATTCTAAAGATATATTGCATTGAACCTTGTGTACAAAAGCAGTCACAGAAAGGAATTGGCAGAGAAGCAATTGGGAGGAGGTCATTTAGGAAATTAAATAAAAGCGGAACAACCTAAAGACACAGAATTACAGAAACAGGAAAAGCAAGAGATTTTGAAAAAACAGTCAGACAACTAACTGTAGTGCAAATTTAAAAAATAAACATGCAATAAGCACAGTTAGCAGGTTATACTTCTCCATACTCCAAGGGTATATGCTAACACAATTTTTTAAAATTCATTTGTGGGAAGTGGGTGTGGGTGTTGCTGGCTGGCCAGCATTTATTGTCCATCTCCAGTTGCCCTTGAGAAGGTACTGGTGAGCTGCCTTTTTGAACCGTTGCAGTCCACCTAAGAACATAGAACAGGACAGCCCATGATGTTGTGCCGACCTATTATCCAACTAAGATCAAACTACCCTGCATACCCTACATTTTACTATCCTCCATGTGCCTACCCAAGAGTCGCTTAAAAGTATCTGACTCCACTACCATTGCCAGCAGCGCATTCCACACGCCCACCAGTCTGTGTGAAGACCCTACCTCTGACATCTCCCCTATACCTTCCTCCAATCACCTTAAAATTATGCCCCCTCGTAATAGTCATTTCTGCCGTGGGAAAAAGTCTCTGGCTATCGCTGTATCTATGCCTCTCATCATCTTGTACACCTCAATCAAGTCACCTCTCATTCTTCTTCGTTCAATTAAAAAAGCCCTAGCTCCCTCAACCTTTCCTCATAAGACCTGTCCTTCAGTCCAGGCAGTATCCTGGTAAATCTCCTCTGCACCCTCTCTAAAGCTTCGACATCCTTCCTATAATGAGGTGACCAGAACTGAACACAACATTCCAAGTGTGGGCTAACCAGGGTTTTATAGAGCTGCAGCATAACCTCGGCTGTTAAACTCAATTCTCCTGCCAATGAAAGCCAACACACCTTACACCTTCTTTAAAACCCTATCAACTTGGGTAGCAACTTTGAGGGATCTATGGACGTGGACCCCAAGATCCCTCTGTTCCTCCACACTGCCGAGAATCCTGCCATTAACCCTGTATTCTGCATTCAAATTTGACCTTCCAAAACCAATCACTTCACACCTTTCTGTGTTGAATTCCATCTGCCACTTCTTTGCCCAGCTCTGCATCCTGTCAATGTTCCGTTGCAACCTACAACAGCCCACCACGCTGTCCACAACTCCTCCAATCTTCATGTCATTTATAAAGATCACAAAGAGCAGAGGTCCCAGAACAGATCCCTGTGGAACGCCACTAGTCACCGAGCTCCAGGCTGAATACTTTCCATCTACCACCACTCCCTGTCTTCTATTGTACAGCCAGTTTGTATGCAGACAGCCAAATTTCACTGAATCCCATGCCTCCTTACTTTCTGAATGAGCCTAGCATGGGGAACCTTATCAAATGCCTTGCTAAAATCCACATACACCACATCCACTGCTCCACCTTCAATGTGTTTTGTCACATCCTCAAAGAATTCAATAAGGCTTGTGAGGCATGACCTGCCCCTCACAAAGCCATGCTGACTATTTCTAATCAAACTGTGCTTTCCCAAATAATCATAAATACTATCTCTCAGAATCCTCTCCAATAATTTGCCCACCAGAGAAGCAAGACTGACCAGTCTATATTTCCTAGGATTATCCCTATTCCCTTTCTTGAACAAGGGAATGACATTTGCCACCCTCCAGTCATCTGGTACTACTCCAGTGGACAGTGAGGACGCAAAGATCATCACCAAAGTTGCAGCAATCTCTTCCCTCGCGTCCCGTAGAAACCTTAGGTATATCCCGTCTGGCCCAGGGGACTATCTATCCTCATGTTTTTTTCAAAATTTCTAGCACATTCTCCTTCCTAACATCAACCTGTTTGAGCTTATCAGCCTGTTTCATGCTGTCCTCACAAACATCAAGGTCTCTCTCACTGGTGAACACTGAAGCAAAGTATTCATTAAAGGACCTCCCCTACCTCCTATGACTCCATGCACAAGTTGCCTCCACTATCCCTGAGTGGCCCTACCCTCACTCTGGCCATCCTCTTGTTCCTCACATAAGCATAGAATGCCTTGGGGTTTTCCTTGATCCTACCCGCCAAGGTTTTTTCATATCCCCTTCTAGCTCTCCTAAGTACATTTTCCAGTTCCTTCCTGGCTACCTTGTAGACCTCTCGAGCCCTGTCTGATCCTTGCTTCCTCAATCTTAAGTAAGCTTTCTTCTTCATTTTACTAGATGTTCCACGTGTCTTGTCATCTAAGGCTCCTTCACCTTACCATCCCTTCCTTGCCTCAGTGGGAGAAACCTATCCAGTATGTGTAGCAACCTAAACAACCTCTACATTTCTATCATGCATTTCCCGGAGAACATCCGATCCCAACTGGTTGTGGGTTGACTCATAAGGCCATTAGGGAGAGAATTCCAGGACTCTGACCCAGCGACAGTGAAGGAACATCAATATATTTCCAAGTCAGGATGGCGAGTGACTTGCAGGGGAACTTGAAGGAGGTGGTGTTCCCATGTACCTGCTGCCCTTGTCCTTCTAGATGGAAGTGGTCATGGGTTTGGAAGGTGCTGTCTGAGGATCTTTGGTGAATTTCCGTAGTGCATCTTGCGGATAGTACACACTGCTGCTACTGAGTGTCAACGGTGAAGGGAGTGGATGCTTGTGGATGTGGTGCCAATCATGCAGGCTGCTTTGTCCTGGATGGTGTCAAGCTTCTAGAGTGTTGGTGGAGCTGCCCCCATCCAGGCAAATGGGGATTCCATCACACTCAACTTGTTCCTTATAGATGGGGGACAGGCTTTGGGGAGTCAAAAGGTGAGTCACTCGCTACAGTATTCCTACCTCTGACCTGCTCTTGTAGCCAGTGTTTATGTGGTGAGTCCAGTTGAAATGTTGGTCAAAGGAGACTGATAGTGGGGGATTCAGTGATGGTAACACTATTGAATGTCAAGGGGTAATAGTTAGATTGTCTCTTATTGGTGATGGTCATGGCCTGGCATTTGTATTGTGCGAATGTTACTTGCCACTTGTCAGCTCAAGCCTGCATATCGCACAGATCTTGTTGCATTTGAACATGGACTGCTTCAGTATCTGAGGAGTTGCAAATGGTGCTGAATAATTCATTGGCAAATATCCCCGCTTCTGATCTCATGATGAAGGAAGGTCATTGATGAAGCAGCTGAAGATAGTTGGATCTCGGACACTACCCTGAGGTACTCATGCAGAGATGTCCTGGAGGTGAGACAACTGACCTCCAACAACACGATCATCTTCCTATGCGCCAGGTATGACTCCAACCATCAGAGAATTTGTCCCCAGTACCCACTGATTCCAGTTTTGATATGCCACACTCGGTTACATGCAGCCTTGATGTCAAGGGCTGTCACTCTCACCTCACCCCAGCTCTTTTGTTCATGTTTGAATCAAGGCTATAATGAAGTCAGGAGCTGAGTGGCCCTGGCAGAACCCAAACTGGGTGTCACTAAGCAGGTCATTGTTGAGCACATGCTGCTTGATAGCACTGTTAAGGATGCCTTTACTGATGATCAAAAGTAGATTGGTAATTGGCCAGGTTAGATTTGTCCTGCTCTTTGTGTACAGGATATATCTGGGCAATTTTCCACATTGTCGGGTAGACGTCAGGGTTGTAACTGTACTGGAACAGCTTGGCTAGGGCAGCAGCAAATTCTGGAGCACAAGCCTTCAGTACAATTAATTTCACAGAAC